TTTTATCACGAGAAAATAAAATTCATATATTCAATCCACAGTGTGATTTTCTTTTCATTATATACACTAAACTATCGCTCGCAATTTTCATTGATTGTTTGCCCCAACAAACATGAAAAATCGGGAAACGACGTCATCTATATCCTCACAAGTGAGGATAAGGATAATATGCCACCAGGGTCTCGTAAGAATTTCACAAGTGGTGTATTTTCCAGTAAAACACTTGTGCCTTTAAAGAGGAATACCTCGTTTTCTAATTTGTGAAGTAATATATCAAACATGAGAGACAGTGTTTCATCGGGATATCCAAACACCGAGAAGAGAGTTGAAGATACGACGCACGGCGGAGTATTTTTGACGAAATTCGAGTTGTTTGGATAGCCGATGAAACACCGTCTCGTGTGTTTGATATATCTTCTCAATCGAAACAAAAACTAAGGAGTAAACGCAGAAGTAAAATCATCAAAGTCTATGCTAATTAAGACCGGGTATCCAAACCTCCTTCACGGTTGTGATTTTCTTTGTTTTAACTTCATGAATTATTATTGAGTTTGAGAAGCTGTTGTAACAGATTGCAATTCATACACTTTAAGAAGCTCAGTCACGGTATTTTGAGTTATTTTGGCCAAGTACAAAAATACCTTTAAATTGAAGGAAACCTAGAAATAATAGTTTACTAAGGTGGAAAAAAACTCAGAAGATATTAATAAACCAAAAAGGAACAAGGATGATTAAGGATGGAGAGGATTGACACGGATTACAAATCGGCGACGAATTTGAAAAATTAAGGCTAAACTCTTCAATATGCGCAAACCTTGACGAAGCTCCCTTAAATACTAAAAACAAATCCGCTCACCTTTTCTTCATGTTCTTTTCTTTCCTTGGCTATGGTTTCCTCAGCTGTTCTTTTCGCTAGTTCATCTTCTGTCCAGCTCTTACGAACTTCTGACAGATCACTGCTAAGCAATACAATCTATAGAAATAACCAACACGCTGTCAAACACATGATCATTGTAAGTCTCATTTTGTTCATCATGTCTCAACCTGCAGTCAGGTTTAAAAGTCCGAAACGGCGACCATCCAAGCAATTGCGACTTCCCTAATGTAAACTTGAGTATAGTGCCAGTTTTTCATTCTTATCCGCCGGGAAAAAGGCTCCCCACTTTTTACCCAACATTAGCCAACATTTTGATCACCCACTCAGACCATGCCGCACTGAAGTTTGATTCAGGTCAAGCTTTCGTCCAGCAATCGCTACAACGAGTGGACGAGTACAATATGGACACAACATGTCACAGAAGACCTAACATTTTTGGAAGATGCCACATCTAATTGTTAGGATCGTTTTACCAGCGTTCAAGTCAACATTGGTTAAAGTGAGTTGTTCTTCCGTTCCCTCTCTGGGTAAGAAAACGTACTGAAGCGAAAACGTGAGAAGGAGGGGAGAATGTCCAGACAAAAGCAACCCCTCCCTTCATAGCAAATGGATGTTTAAACCTTTGCCACTGAGCACCTTTTACATTCTGATCCTAAGATCAACTAAAGAATTTTCTTAAATAAGAAGGCATGTTATAACAACACAATTTTAAGGCAGCTTTGGGCAAACGTTTGTTGACATGCTCTTGAGGAGATACTCATCCCTTTGCAGACATAGAGATCTATTAGCAAACAAAACGATGAAATAGAAGTAACCTTTTCCTCATGCTCTTTTCTCATTGCTTCTATCTGTTCTTCTGCGGTTTTCCTTGCTTCTTCTGTTTCACCTTTTTCTTTTTTCAACGCCTCCAGCTCCGCCATAAGAGACGAAATCTTGAAGAAAAAAAATTACTTTCATTTACTCGACCGAAAATCTGTTTGCTTTAAGCGACCATTCACGCAAAATGTATTGGAAACCACAATGGAAAAAAAAAAACAGAAACAGAAAGTCTCAAAGCAACAGCTACATCACAACAAACCAGCAAACGAAAGAGTTTTACTGACCCTTTCGTCGTGTTCTTTTCGTTCTCTTTCTATAGTTT